GTTCTTTCTTCATATTCTGATACAAAATAGCGTAAGAACCTTTAGTAATGTTTTTCTCATGTAACGTATAAATTATCTCCAGAAGATATAACAACAGAAAGACAAGATTTTTTACCTGGTGGCAATAAAGAAAAATATTTCCAGTAGAATTTATTACTTTTAATGCTAAAAAAAATCCCCAGGAATTGGGTATTCTGGATTAAATAATTTAATAATATAACCTCTGGTGCCAGATTCATTGCCAGTGTTATTACACCAATTAATTTATCGATCTCTACAAAACAATTATAACTGAAACTATTTTCTAAGTTAAAGAAACAGTTTGAGGGATTTTGCATCTGTTTCTGGTATTTTGGGAAGAGACCTTAAAAATCTCCAAATCTGTTTATGTAATTTCTCCTCAATCTAGTATTTTGTCAATATCTTCCTTTATAAATAGTCAGCCCACTGATTTTTATTAGTATCCTTTTTTGCTTTTGCATGTACTGCTTTATATTCCCTGTTGTCTTTTGTGTACTAGTACTATCAATGCTCTTCGACATTTTCTTCATGTTTTAGACATGGGTGTGCTGTACAAATCTCTCACTGTGTTTGCTTGCTTCTTCAAGAACTGTTATTGTGAAGTTAGTGAAAAAGGTCAGGGTGATTATTTAGTGGGAAAAATCGAATCTGCTGGAACTTTATTGCTTTCCTCTAAGAAATCTGACTTATTTATGACATAAGGTATTTTAGGGCACCTGATAGGACTTACTTCTTTTTTTATGATACTCCTGCCTTTGTGTAAAATTGTGCTATAAATGATATTGACAGTGTCATACAGTACTACTGTATTGTTTTTAAGTTGCATTGTTTCAGCAATTTATAGTCAAACAAACCAAAGTCATGACTGTCTGCCCTACTTGCAAAATTGTAGAGACTTGTCTTAAATTTTTCAATATATGTTAGAGAAACTTTTAGCAGAGGAAAGTTTAGCATAGCTCAAGGAAAGATGTACTATTTCTTCTGGCTTGAATCCACAGCTCTTAAAATAGATGTAATATAGACAGGTGTGTAACTATGTAGGGATAATCCTATGATTGGGATACTTTTCTTAATGGATTTAGTAAAGTCCACTGGAAACACTATACCAAAGAGTTGCCTGACAAGTGCATTAAACTAGATACTCTTCTCAAAAAAGGAGATGAGATCATCCCAATTGTCCATACAGTAAGACATATTAAATACAAAGTTGAGGCTGGTTCTCTGACCCCAAAAGAAATAATCAAGTCACAGCTACTTGTAGGTTACTGGAAAGGCTAATTTGTATTCCCTTGCAGGCAGTAATGAGATAAAAGAGCCCTTTAAGACTCTGTTGGTCGGAATTATCTTCAGATTCTCTTCTCAAACAGGATTCTTTTTTAACCTGTAATACCGAAATTGATGAAGAACTCTGTATCTCTCAAAGGTAGACAAGTCAGCTTTCTCCCTTGTGTTTGCACCTGCTGAACTTTCTCAAAAGCCTTTCATTTTACAACCCCAGGTTTTTAACCCCCATAACAGATCCTTAAGCAAACTGTCCAGAGATTTGATAAATTTGCTTTTGCTTTTGCTTTCAATGATTACTGATGTTCAATAGTACCCAGTTTGAGAACTTCCTTAGGTTACAGTCCATCATACTCTTGAATGCCCTGTATCTCTTGATCTGGAAAAAAAAATCTCAACCAAGTTTTACAAAACCATGGAAGGATTTCATGCTCAAAAAGGACCATGCAGGCTATTCTCCTTATGACTGAGTGATCTCTTTTAAGCATTCTTCAGAGTTGATTGCTTAGAGAATTATTTTTTCATATGCTGGTTAATTCCACCACCATTGTTTAAATCAAGATAAATAGACTTTTAAAGGCAATGCATTTTTGCATAAGTGAAAATAAGACTTCTAAATGTTTTTTGGTTGTGGGTTTTTTGGCTTTTTTAGAAGTGGATAGGTTTCCTTTAACTTTTTAAGTGATTGAAAAATACATGAAGCATTCCATGTTTACTACTGTTCAATATCTTCCAGACAAAATTTGTTATGTTTTCCTTATAAGCAGCTGGGAACTTTTCAACCACCAAGCCTACAGGAAGAGCTTGTGATCCAAACATTTAACTGGTTTTACATATAATGACTGATACTCGCTTTTTTGCAAATCAGACACTGACTATGCAAAGGTATGGGCTCACTGGGACGGTTATAGCCTTTAGAGCAACCTTGGGTGCATGCTGTGTATGGTGTGATGAGGAAGATACCACACTATTTAACAGTTTGTTCATTTTTATATCATTACTGCCACTATATCCAATCCCATATCCTTCTGTTTTTAGTGATACTGAATTGGATTATATAGACTTATTTGTTTAAAAATTTCCTTCTGCCTAATGTTATTACAAGTGGAATCCAAAAATAAACAGGCCTAATCACTATTCTTTTACCACTGCACTTTTAGGTTTGTTCTAACCAGTGTTAGAGAGAGCTGAGACTTCAGGAATAGTTGAGAAAAATGTGCAAGATACTTCTGCAAGATACAAAACCTATTTTGAAGAGGTTTTAAAGAAGACAACAAAAATTGGCCAGGCAAGTGTTAAGTAGCTATCAACTGTGTGCAGAAAACAGTGTGCTGAGTTCTGTTCCTATGGTCATTTGCAAGATAGTACAGACAGATTTTGGATTCTGAAAATTACCACATACTGTAGAGCTGTGAGAGAATAGGGATTCACAGCATCTCAAAGGAGAACCTCAGAGCCTGATGGAATTACACCCTACAAGTTAGTTATGCTATGCTCGATATGGCTTTTTATATGGGCATCTAACCTGAACATTATGGCTTTTCTATAAAATTGCCGGTTTCATAATTCCACTTTTATTTTTCTAAGGATGGAAGAGAATGAGTTATTTAATATTAAAATGTAGCTTCTCTGCATGCTAAGATTAATTGACTCAGCACTAATTATTATAACTGGATTATTAGCTCAATAATAATTTTTGAAGGGGTAGCTGCATAAATGCTTGATCATCTTTTCAAGCCATTAAACACTCTGGGCATCAGCCTCTTAACAGTAATTCTGACATGTTTATCTCAGCTGGGTTTGTAATTCCTCTTTGTTTCAGGGTTTGTGATCTGTATATACAGTAGATTTGGAAAAAAACCCACACACAACAAAACCCCAACAAAATGATATCACCTTCCAGTTGAATTAATAAATAAATAAATAAAAACAGACTATTCCAGCACAAGATAAACCTCAATGACTAACAAATAAAATTTTCTCCTTAAAAAGCAATTATGCTTTTGTCCATTAAGTCTGGACACCTGGAGTAAATATTTGTTCCAGATTTGCAGGTACCTTATTACATTTATATTTAAAGGTTAGATACAACAGTTCCTCTTGGTTACCCTTCATATAATTAACCTAAGTACTTCCAAACTTGATTTGTAAAGAAAGTATCTCATGCAGCCCATATCCCGAAACTCACTAAGAAATAAAAACACCCTTTTCATTGCATTCTTTGGTGAACAAACAGAATGCAATATCAGATTTAGAGTTTCCCAGCCGATTCTGTGAATAAGTCTTAAAATTCCAGATGACAGTTACCTATGAATGCTTCCTGTCTGCAGAAACCGATTGAATTATCCTCGACTCCTTTATTATTATTATTATTTTTTAAGATTACACACACTTGGTCCCTCCATAAGCAGTCAAACAACAGTTAGAGTTTGATCATTTACGCCTAAACGCATTAGAACAAATTCGTGCTGTACTTTTTTTATACACACACTGCGCCCTTCCTGAAGGCATGGGATGGAGGGATCAGACCTCCTGTCTCCGCCACCGGAACGAAGCAATAATTCTGGATCCAGCAAGAGTGTTTGTTCTGGAGCCAGTCTCCCTCCCCGGCCCCTCCGACCCGAGGAAAAAGTTCAGCTGTTCTTCTCGGCGGTGCTGTCTGGCCCGGGGCAGGGGGCAGCCAAGCCCGGCCCGGCCGGCGTTGCCCATCCCGCCGCCAAGGAATGCCATCCCGTCGCTCCAGCGCTGCGCTGAGCCGAGCAGCGCCGAGCCTAGCCAGCAGTGGCATAATCTACTAATGGCTTCTTTTCATTTCAGCCCTCCCTGAGAGACTCAGTGGCAGATTGTAGACTCAATTACTCTCATGTCAGGTGATTATCCTAGGTCTTAATGTAATCTTCCATTCACACATACCATATTTCAATTACGGCAGCTATGAAACAAGCTGTGTATTCAAATCACCAATCACCTTATCACTGCTGAACAATGTCAACTGTAAAAAACGCCAGCTGAAGGCAATTACACATGTGTTGAGAACCGATTATGATTACTCTCTGTGGTATTTGTGATGAGCTGGGGAATGTTCTGAAAATTTAATTTAATGACAATATGCTTGCTGTACAATCCATAATACCTCCTGAATCCAGCATGGGGCTATTAAAACTGATAGGAGCATATTATCACCGAACTGAAAAGCTGGGTTGGGATGGTTGCTGGATGTCTCTACAGGGAATGATAGGTAATTTCTCCACATATTTCTAACGGCTAAGGCAGACAGCTTCCAGTTCCAGCTGCACTCTGAAGGTGGTCCCTTCCCCTCCCTCCTCTCTCCCGGAGCTGAGTTAAGGAGTTTTACTGTAGCCGCTGCGGAGGGACGGGGAGGCGAGTGGAAGAGGGGTGTGAGGGACATTGCCTCAGGGACCCCAGGGCACAGCGCCGTTTCCCCTTGGGCATTTTCTTGACCTCGTTAAACCTTTTCTCGGATTTTTTTTTTTTTTTTTAACTTTCCTCTCGTTTTGACACCCTCTCTGCACAGCCATGCAGATTTAACAACAGGAGGAGGAGATACAAGTGCCCCTCACAAAATGAATCCCTCCAGGCTCCTGGAAGGGAGCAGCAACATCCCCCCGTGCCGTCCTGCGGGGTCGCCCGTTGCTAGGCAACAACCCAGGCCAGAGGAGTGCTTAGCCCCAATACCCCAAACGTGTGTATGCACATAACGAAGGTGCAATTGTAATTGTGCGGCTCTCCGGCCTGTCTGGCCCGGCCCTTGCTTCCAACAGGTAGCCAGGCTGGAGGGCACATAGACAGGAATCCCACCGCCTCCTATGGGCACCGCCAGTGCGGCGCTGCTTGCAGGGATGAGGAAGAAATCCAGGGCCCTGGGTGTCAGGGGTGGGGGCTGGTGTACAACGCTATTGCTATTTATCGATCTGAATTGGTGCGATTCTAGATTAGCCTTGCAATTCATTTCAGAAAGCTGACAATCTCCGCTGCCTGGGCGAAACACAAAGGTCTCCCGTTCTTCCAAGGCTCCGGCCGATAACGCTGCGCTGGGGAATTGTGCGAACTCTGTGGCTCCGGTATATTGTCTCGCTCTCCTTTCAAGGGCTGCGTTATGAACTCAGGACTCTTCAAACAAAACACGTCATCTCCAGTGCTGAATCGAAAATCCCGTTTAACTTGAAACATGCAATGTCATTCACCTACATACAAAACCCCCCCAGTTTTCAATGAATATATGCTGAAGAGATTTATTTATCTGCACTAATATTTCATATACAGTGCATTAATTTTTGTAAACAGGTTGATTTTTTTAGCAGATAAACCTATTGTGGTAATTTTTCCTTCATTGTATACGGGAATTTTATCATGGATTTATTCCTCTGAAAGCATTTATTTAAGTAGAATTCTGCAGCACACATGCTTTTTAAGCCTGGGAAACATATAGTTATCACATTGTCCCAGACTTATACGTTTATAAGAATGAGGCTTACCTGATTTTTTTTTTATTATTTTTTTTTTTTAAGTTACTCTTTCACACAGTGGCAAGTATCCTGTCTCAATTGTCTTTTGCTTATGTCTGCTGTACAGGCACTAGGACAAGAATATCTGACCAGATCCATGAGGGAGAAGATACTGTAGTACCTTTTTTCTTTTGGATACTTACCTATGTGTCTGAATAGAACAGGGATGTCAAACATAAGGCCAGAAAGTAAATAAATAATGTTGATAAAAATGACATAAATCAGAAAAGTCAGAGCAAGCAACTAGTAACATTTAAACAGTATACTTAAATTATTTGAGTCTAATTGGAAAAACAGTTTCTGTTGTTTAAGAGGTTTTAACAGTGAAACTTACTTTTTAAAAAGCCAGTTCTGAAAAAGAAAAAAGGTATAAATAAAGGTGATGGAGAAAAGACCAAATCACAGGCAAAAAATATGCTAGCAAAACAAGCAAGGGCTTAGGAAACTTAAGTCATGCCAGCTTTTGGGTACACAAAAGTAAACTATCTACTAGACACCACAGGATTTTTTTACAGTATGTACATGATGATCATGTAATACAATATGGTGATTAATGTTATTATAGTAACAGTAGTAGTAACAATGTCAATATTAACAGCAGTGATAGCAATAACAAAAAAAATTGGTGAAACCGAAACAGAACCAAATAGAGTAAATTAATAAGGAGCCTAAGATTCAAACCAGTTGTTTCTCCAAAGGACAGAAATGGTGCATCTTCATTCTGGGTTAGTCTACAGCTAAGGAATCACTGATCTGTGAGCAGTCTGAATCTGAATTCCAGTTGGAAGCAGACACTTCAGGGCATCTCTGCTTTTTGCTGCAGGAATACAGAATTCACATCACATGTGTCTGGCGCTGGCAAGGAAAGCTTTCCTTTTACATGTAGTAGAAAGGCAGCATGCAAGGTGATTTGTGACATTCCTCTTCATATCTCATTGTGAAGAGAAAGCCAAGAAATAAAGAAAAAATCCTTGTCTCCTATTAATTATGTTATTAATTGAATTTATATTGTTACTGGCATGTTTCTTGCATGAAGGGAACAATATTCTATAAATAAGGGAGATACAGCACAATGGCATAGCTCCAAACTTTTTTCCAGTTACCAGATCACTGTCTGATTTACTTTACATATAAAGAACTGCATCCCAGCATCATCTAGATTTTTTCTTAATCAGAACGCTGGTTTTTTGTGTGTTTGTGGTTTGGGTTTTTCCCTTCCTAATTTTTTTACACTTTTTCATTTTTTTTTTCTTTCCTAGGAAAGCTGTTGAAAGTCCGTGAGAAAATATCTCCATTCACCTTACACATACTGTGTATACATACATTTACTATAAACACAAATGGGCACATAAAAACTATAAAATCACTCTAAGAAAGAACTAAAAAATTGCTCTTTGGCCCGAAATCTGTCATTCAGGACAACTGAAATTTCTCCTTAAGTTGAAGGAAGCATCAGCTGAGCAAAGTTGCCATGACAGAGATCAAGCAAAATGTTATTAGGTAAATACCCAACACAGTGAAGGGCTTTATTGATTTTTCAGCAAAATGAAGTTACTGTACTTATTTTAAAGATCAATTTTATCACCTGAGCTTAGGTATGTTGGACTTCAAACAAAGAAAGAAAGAGGGCAATCCTTTATAACCCCCTCTGTGACCCTAAACAGCCAGAAAACCAAAAGGTCAGCTTATTTTGTTAGCTGAATTACATTTCTTTTTTCTTTCTTCGATTGTTCTTAAATATAATTATCTGCCAAAAAAATAAGCTATCTGATTACAAATTGTGCTATTTTTATTGCCCAAGGCAGTTGTTAATTTTTGCCATAGGTCAGACAGGATAATGCCCTAAAGAACCAAGACCTTCTTAATTGCATAGTGTACCACTAGCTGTTGCCACATCTCAGAGGAGTTATTGCACCTTGTAGATAATGCCCTTTTCCCCTGCAAGCCATGAAATAGGTTCTCCCTACATCGATGTATTAATTAGATTTCAAGAGTGTTTCAAAAATTATAGCTGAAGCTGCAGTTCAAATATTTCAGAAGTTATTATAAAGATTTCCTGTTATGGGTTTTTTGCTTGTTTGTTTGTTTGGTTTGGTTTTTTATTCTCTAATTGAAAAAGGGGAGGAAATGATCTTGAACACTCTCTCTCTTTTTTTTTTTTTTAAGGGGAAGGAAGAAGCCCAACCTGTAAACTTTGTCACATTTAAAGAATATACAAGTTTGTAAGTTTTGATAGAATTCCAGGTTAACTTTGTCATTTCTGATGCTGTAAAAAGTGAATGAATTGAGACGACCTGTAGAAATCTCAGGAAACATTTGAAATTTTTTCGACTGGCTGTATATCAAATATACAGTGAAAAAAGGAAATAGAAGGAAAGTAGAAAAGAAGGGCAAGAGGCGAAATGGTTTGTGTCCATTTAAGAAAAAATCAATAATAGCATAAAATTGATTTAGAGCTTGTCATAAAACATAAGTAAGTGCTGGAAAATAGAGAAAATTGAGTCTCAATTTAATCTGCACAAAAGCTACACTGTACTGATGAAGTGATCTGAGGAGAGAGCTACATAAAACCTAAAGACAGATACTTAATTGTCATATTAAAGACTCTCTTTTCTGCCTGCTGGAGTCAAGGGGTAGGACCCATTAATCATGTGGATAAGGGGCATTGAAATCAAATCTCAATTAAAATCTGTTCAATAATGTCTCTAATATGTTTTTCAAGCATTAATTTTTTCCCATCGATTCTACACCCCATAAATCAGATATGTTGCAGTGCATGTAATAGTTTATGGAGGAGAGGATTATGGTTTTATGAAGTTAATGCAGCAGAACCATTTAATTTACTCAGGCTAAAGTTTTATGTCTGTTGATAATTTCTATTGTTTTCCGTGGGTTAAAATTCTTTGGAATATAAACCTGAAACAATTTTTTTTCTATTTTCATATGTGCGTGTGTGTGTGCCAACATACACAAAGTATCTGTGTATACTTATGACCTGACTTATATGGCCCTGCTGACAAAGATTATTATCGAAGAAGATATATTAATTTTATTTAAGACTGTGGTTTTGAGGAGTAGAGGTAAAAATCTCTCAGCAAAAAAAGACAACCATTTTTTGTACTGTTACACTATGCAGTGTCTGGTGAAACACAAGCAATAGCAGGGATACTGGCAACTCAGCTTCTGGCTTTTATGTGAATCTAAGAGAATATGATCATGAGAAGTTTTGTATGAGATGTAAAATTAGTTTGCAACCAGTCTAGGACGGAAAAGATCTTAGTCTTTCCACATTTGCAAAAATCTCTTTCTGGAAAGTTATATTCTCCACCTACATTTCCTGACAGGTACAATTGGCTATATCCTGCTTAATTTTCCATCATAAGCTGATAGAGCTTTAAACTAGCTTGGAAGGGAGGCCGGGATAAAAAAGATCTCGCCAGTGATCAGCGATGGGATAATGTGCCAAAACTTGTGGAAATGAGTATTGATGGGAATCCTCAATCTGCTACACCAGATGTTAGCTACAATGTACCCCACCCGAAATGTTTCTACCCCAATGCTTCCCTCATGAGGAACATGAGGAGCTCGAAGCTTTGGTCCACTCCTGAAGATTTGATATCACTGGCATATGTGAAACCTTGTGGGATTAGTCCTGTGACTGGACTGCCCTGTTGGATGGTTACAGTCTCTTCAGGATTGATGGGCAGGGCAGAAGAGGCACAGGGGTGGCACTGTATGTAATAGAAGGGTTAGGATGTATGGAGCTCACAGTTGGCAATGGCACAGTTGAGAGCCTCTGCATAAGAACCAAGGGGCAAACAAATAATGTGGATGCCATTGTAGGAGTTTACTATAGACCTCCCAGCCAGGACAATGATGCCAACAAATTATCCTTTGAGGAACTAAGGGACACTTCCAAGTCAACTGTCCTTGTCCTTATGGGAGACTTCAACTTGCCAGAAATTCATTGGGAGCACCACTGCTTCAACCTGGGTCAAAAAATTTCTAAAAAACCTGGATCACACCTTTACGGAACAATCCTAAGGGAGCCAACTGGGAAAGACGCCCTCCTTGGCCTGCTGCTTGTCAACAGAGTGGATCTTGTGAGCAAAGTGGAGATTGGCGGCTGTCTTGGCCACAGAGACCATGAGGCGATCGAGTTTAAAATCTCTGTTGATAGGAGGAATAGTGTCAGCAAAACCTTAACTCTAGGCATGAGGAGAGCAGAATTCAGGCTGCTCAGGGAATTAGTAAGTAAGGTTCCCTGGGATAATGTTTATGCAGGTGCTGGTGTCCATCAGTGCTGGTCACTTTTTAAACATCACCTCCTAAGGCCACAGGAGCAGCAATTCCCAAAATGTCAGAAGTCAAGCAGGTGAGGCAGAAGGTCAGCTTGGCTAAGCAGGGATCTTCTCTTGGATATAAGGCAAAAAAAGATGTATGCCTAGTGGAAACAAGGCCAAGTGACATGGGAAGAATACAGAGATGCTGCTTGCTGCTGTAGGGAGAAAATTTGTGTGGCCAAAAATCAACTGGAGTTGGAGCTGGCCAGAAATGTTCTGGACAAAAAACTGAATCCTTTCAAATATATTACTGGCACTAGGCAGTATTGAAATATCATTGTTCCATTACAGAATGAGGATGGTCACCTCACAAACAAGGACAGAGACAAGACAGAGGTGTTTAATGCTTTCTTTGCTTCTGTCTTCAACATGGATGATGGACCAAGGGGGTTTCAGTGCCCTGAGCTGGAGGACTATGACTGTGAGAATGATGGGATTCATCCAAGAATCCTCAAAGAGCTTGCTGTTGTCATCCCAAAGCCTCTCTTGATGATTTTTGAGTGGTCTTGGGAAGGAGGGACCATGGAGAGATCCCAGCTGACTGGAAGCTGGTGAATGTTGTCCTGATTTTCAAGAAGGGCAAGAAGGCGGACCCCAGAAAGTCCAAGCCTGTCAATCTCACTTCAGTGCCTGGTAGTTATGGAGAAGATTATTCTGGGAAGTATTGAAAAAGATCTGAAAGACAACCCAGTCATTGGGCACAGCCAGCAGGCTTCATGAGAGGAAAGTCCTGCTTATCAAACCTGATTTCCTTCTATGACAAGATAACCCGCCTAGTTGATTGAGGGAAATCCAGTTGATGTGATCTTTTTGGATTTCAGTAAAGCTTTCGATACTCTCTCTCACAGGATCCTTCTGGACAAAATGTCCAGCACACAGCTGGACAAACACATCATGTGGTCGGTGAGTAGTTTGCTCACAGGTTGGACACAGAGGGTAATAGTGAATGAGGTAACATCAGACTGGCAACCTGTCACTAGTGGGGTTCAACAGGGCTGCATCTTAGGCTGCGTACTCTTCAACATCTTCATAAATGACTTGAATGCAGGACTGGAAGGGATACTAAGCAAGTTTGCAGATGACTGTGGTAGTAGTGGGTCAAGGGTTGGACTTGATGATCTCAGACGTCCTTTCCAACACGTCTGATTCTATGATTCTATGACATAAAACTTGGGGGAGCTGTTGGCTCCCTCAAAAGAAGGGAGGCCCTGCAGAGAGACCTCAACAAATGAGAGGACTGGGCAATCACCAACCATATGAAGTTTAACAAGGGAAAGTGCTGGATTCTGTACCTGGGATGGAGCAACCCTGGGTGTTCATGCAGACTGGGGAATGAGATGCTGGAAAGCAGTGCCATGAAAAGGGACCTGGGAGTCCTAGTCGACGGCAAGTTGACTATGAGTCAGCAGTGCCCTGGCAGCCAGGAGGCCCAACCTTGTCCTAGGCACATGTTGTGACTCTTGGGGGTGGTCCCGTGCAGTGTCGGGAGCTGGACTCAATGACCCTTCTGGGTCCCTTCCAACTCAACATATTCTGTAATTCTGTGATAAGTTCTTGTGTGAGTCTTGGTGTATACTCTTTCAAAGCTGACAAATTCCACCTAAGAGTCAGCTGCCTTTTGCTGGTTGAGTGAATATTGTTTCATGACCAAATCTACTCTAACTTAAACACAAATCAAAACTTATTTGCAGTATTTAGGCCACAGTTCATAACCACTCTTTGAGACTGCTGGACACACAAGCAACCCAACACATTTTCATCTTAAAGAAATATGAGCTGCAACTTCCCATTATCTTTTTTAAATACTCTTGGTGAGTAGCTTATTCCAGCAAACTGAGGCTGGCTGACCGGTGCACAAGAGCTATGATAGCTAAATTCCTGTCATCTTGAGGCTGGTTTTGTTGACCATATTCCCAGAGCTAATGAAGGCTAGGGCCATTGGTGAGAAGTAATAGGTGTCACTTGGGAGCATCCCTTGGCTGTACCAGGCCTTTGCTTGCCTTAGCAGGGACAGTGAGAGGGACATTTACCTCACCATCACAGTCCTAAATTCCTTTCCTCATGCTAACAAATCCTCTTGCCAAACAACTGGGCTCAAAACTGCTGATCAAACAAACATCAAGAAAATGCTCATAATTTTTTAAGACATCATCATATTTAGTATAATTATAACTTCAATTTTATGTTTTCCTTTTTAAGTGCTCCTTTAACTGCGAACAGTGGGCTAATGATGGCTGTGTCATGTACTTAATCCCACTCATCACAAGTCCCAGTTGTGAACTGCTATGTAATCAGTGGCAAAATATCTTGTCAGTTTCAGTGAGTTTTGGCTCAAGACTATCAGCTCAGAATTGTGAAACAGTTTGATGAAGATTTGGTACAAGGTACAATTCACATTAAGACAAAAGTGGCATTAAACTATGTGCCTCCAACATTCTGAGTCAGGACTTTGAATAACTTAGTAAGTCACCACAAAAGCAGTTATTAGCTATTAAGATATCATATGGCCCAAAATAGTCATGGAATTGCATTTTAGTAACATTAATGTCTTCTGATGCCTCTTCTCATCCTAAACCATTCTTGCACCAGAAGCTGTAATGAGACACAAACCCATATAAAGCCTGTCTGCTGACTTATACCCATCCAGGATCTCATTCCATATATAACTATTAACTTGAGGGCCAATTAATAGTTAATGTTGCAGGAGCCATAGCATAGGCAGTATTGGAGGCTATGGGCAATGCATTTTTTAAAAGTTAAAACAGAATTTGATTTTTATAAAAATGTATGTCTTCACTGTTTATAGTGTGGTTACACAAACAAAGGAAACACACTAATGCTGAAAGACAAAGTAAAAAATAATGAGACAGAAAATTAAATTGCAAACGTGCCACTCCATTCTATCCTAATATTACAGTCTCTCGTAGAAATATATGGGAAAAAAACACTCCTAAATTGCACAGTATTTAGACAGAGTTTTACTGCAGAAGACTGTACATAAGAAGACTTCAGTATTGCTACTGTTAAATAATTTTTTAATTATTTTTACCAAATCACTATATTAAACAAAAGAAGGACATGGTATACTATTTTGTGCTATAGCTGATACTTTTGTTGGCATAGCTGTGTTAGAAAAGAGACAAATGGATCAGAACACTGTTCTGCTAAGGGAAATTCCTCTGGTTGGTACTATTTATGTCACCCCTTTAAGTTTTCATAATGTGATTCCTACAGGTTAGCTTTACAGACAAATATTTTTTGGTGTAGACACAGCTATAATTAAAAAAATATTTATGTTTTACAGACGATGTACTTTGGGGTTTCCTTCTTTTAATTTGTTGAGTTTTGAATGTGCTTTGTGTATGTAGGATGTATAAGGATATATTTTAACTGTGTACAAAATTAACCTATGGAACTCATTGTGACAAAATGACAATGAATTGGAAAAGTTAAGAAGAAGACTGTAGATTTATCTCAATCATAAAAAGCTTCCACAGTTGCATCAGATAGGATAAAACATTTTTAAAGGGGATATAAACCCTCATGCTTCAGGTCACAAACAACAGAGAAGATTTAGAAATACACCTACAGCCTATGAGCAGATTATTCTGCTAAGGTGTGACATACCTATTCCTGAGAAGACTGATGCTGGCTGTGCTCGGGATACTATCTCTTTTGTGCACCACAGTCCTATGGCTTATCTGTATGGAGGCTTGAAATTTTTAGTTACCCTCCCAGTTCAGGCAGTTTCTCAAGTTTTTTGCCTGCCAAAATTTCCTGACTAATCCTTCTAGTGGTTAATCCACTAGAAGACATCTTTTCCAAGCTGACACCCTGATTTATCAGCTTTCATTTGCTCTCTGCAGCTTACTGGGAAAGCTTCCTCTTGAAACTTGGGCTGGACTGCTAGTGTGATGAAAATGGTACCACTGGTCTGCAGGCCACAGTTCTCCTGGGTGTAAAAAGTCTCTTTGCCAGCTGCTTCAGTGCTGTTTTTAACATTGGCTGCATGTAGAAATAAGAAGTAAAAAAATATTTTTCCTGTATTTTCAAGTACAGAAGAAAACTCCATGTTAGAATTCCAAGATGGACAAAATAAATCTATATTATATATTAATATATCTTAGTATTATATCTTAATTCAATTTTAACAAATTCTGTTTCCTCCAGCTAAAAGGCTGTGAGGAATCCTACACAGCTGGGAAGATGAAGATTAGCATAGGCTGGATCACAGCTCAGGGTTCAGGATGTTCTCAATTACTCTCTGAATATACATTCAGGTCCATAACTTTGCCCTGGTAATTTCCAGCAGTTCTAAAACTCAATCCTTAATTAAGATGTCAAACTTTAGCACTTTTCTCATATACTAAGGATTAGTGACTGTCCCTTGCTAATTATAGAAATATTGATGTCCCTGGGGCATAGCTATGTGAAGCTGTCTCTTTCTAGACAGTAAAAAAAAATTAGTAATGGATACCACACTGCATTGTTTATCCCTTCTTTCAAATGGCAGGGAGGGATCAAACCTTAGTATCTAGCTCTTTATACATTAAAAATATAGTCCCCGCCAACACATAAGTGGATTCTATCTAATATACTAAGGAGCACAATGGATGTAAACCATTTCTGATTGTTCATTGAAATTATAATCACAGAGTTTGAGAAAGTAGACTTGGGATAAGTGATTCCTAATCTGTTTTTGACAGACACTATGACAATAGGATAGCTTTTCCTATTATCACATTACACAGTTCCAGAGACCACATTACATATTATTAAATAGAAACAATAGTTTCTATGTTGATACAAATAATATACCAAAAAATGATAGTTCCTGTAGTTTGTGTTTCACTATTTCTTCTTATACCTCAGTACTTTTATCTTTCTTGCATTTGACATTTTCAGGAGGAAACAGAAGATTTGCTGAAAATTGGCAGCATCTTGTGAGAAGTGAGGAAGGGTGTTGTTTAAGGTGTACAAGCCAGTGGGGTCAGGTATGTGGCTGGAAGAAGGTGGCTGAGGATCATGGACAAAGATGAGGAGAGAGCTACACCAAGCATATGGTAATCAAGCTGAAAATAGAGGGAAAAATAAGTAACTAAATCTTATATCATACCAATCTTACTTCTCTGTCCCAACAATGACCTTAGGACTTCTCATTTGTGGTGGCTTATATGGTTATTCTGTGATCTCACCTCTATGTCTGGGAAGATCATGGAACAGATTCTCCTAGAAGCTGTGCTAAGTCACATGGAGGACAGGGAGGCAGTTTGGGACAGCCAGCATGGCTTCAGCAGGGGAAAGTCTTCCCTGATCAGCCTAGTGGCCTTCTATGATGGAGTGACTACATCAGTGGACAAGGGAAGAGGTCATTCATCTGGACTTCTGTAAGGCCTTTGACACAGTCCCCCACAACATCCTTCTCTCTAAATTGGAGAGAGATGGATTTGATGAGTGGACTGTTCGGTGGATAAGGAATTGGTTGGAAAGTAGCATCCGGAGGCTAGTGGTCAATAACTCAGAATCCCAATGGACACCATGAAGTGACAAGTGGTGTCCTTCAGGGGTCCATATTGGGACCAGTGCTATTTAATATCTTTATTAATGACATAACAGACAAAGGGATTGAGTGCAGATGACACCAAGCTGAGTGGCGCCGTTGCCACACCTGAAGGATGGGATACCATCCAGAGGGACCTGGACAAGCTTGAGAAGTGGGCCCAGGTGAACCTCACGAGATTCAATTAAGCCAAGTGCAAGGTGTTGCACCTGGGTTGGGGCAACCCCCAGTATCAATACAGGCTAGGGAATGAACAGATTGAGAGCAGCTCCGCCAAGAAGGACTTGGGGGTGCTGGTGGGTGAGAGGCTGGACACGACCAGCAATGTGCGCTTGCAGCCCAGAAAGCAAATCGTATCCTGGACTGCATCAAAAGCAGTGCGGCCAACAGGTTGAGGGAGGTGATTCTGCCCCTCTGCTCTGCTCTGCTCTGGTGAGACCCCACCTGCAGTGCTGCATCCAGCTCTGGGGCCCCCAGCACAGGAAGGATATAGAGGTGTTTGAGTGAGTCCAGAGGAGGACCATCAAGATGATCAGAGGGATGGAGCACCTCTCCTATGAGGAAAGGCTCAGCCTGGAGAAAAGAAAGCTTTGAGGTGACCTAATAGCAGCCTTCCAGTACCTGAAGGGAGCCTGCAAGAAGGAGAGAGACTATTTATAAGAGCATGTAGTAACAGGACAAGGGGGAATGGCTTCAAAATGAGAGGAAGTTTAGATCAGATATTATGATATTGGATATAAGGAAGAAAGTCTTTACTGTGAGGATGATGAGGGGGAACAGGTGGACTCACTATCTATGGTGGTATTTAGGAAGAGACTGGATGTAACACTTAGTGCCATGGTCTAGTTGGCAGTGTGGTGTTGGGTCTCAATGATCTCAGAGGTCTCTTCCAACCAACTTGGTTCTGTGATTCTGTGTGATTCAGTGAACAGGCTGCCCAGAGAAGTTGTGGGTTCCCCACTCCTGGAAGTGTTCAAAGCCAAGCTGGCTGGGATTTGAGCAGCCTGGCCTAGTGGCAGGGTTGTTAGAATGAGATGATCTTTAAGGTCCCTTCCAATCAAACCATTTTGCGATTCTATGATTGATCCTATGATTCTATTCCCTCCTTCCCTGGCAGCATTGCATATGTGGTAGGAGCTCAGTCTAAGCTGTCTTGATAATTAGAGGTGAAAGCGGAGTGGTCTGAAGGGCTTTTTAGCATCCCCAATCTTAAATATTCTATCTACTCTCCCATCAGCCCATCTCCTTCCTCCCTTCTCTAAACCGGAATTTCTTCAGCACCCTGCCCAGCTGTCTACCCAGAGATTCTCTGATGACATAGATCTTAGGATCTATGCCTTGCTCCAGTTTAAATCCTCAGTCCCCTTTAAGTGAAAGGGAGAGATTAGAGAACTGTAGGTCACAGTAACTGAATTGGACAGGCAGGATAGTGCTACAGGTACTTTCCAACAGCAGGTCACTATATCTGCTTTACTAAGGTCTGAGAAGGCTCAAAGACTTAGCAAACGCTATCTAATGGTAACATTGGCAATGCCAAGAGTAGCACTCCTGTGCCCAAAATGGATGTGTCAGTCGCTGGCCACCTCACTTCCTTTTCATGGCAAAAAGCAGCCTAACTACCAAGTCATGGTTCTGTTCTTACTGAGTCCTAACTTTTAGCTGCTCTTGTAATTTGTGCTGCCTCTTTTCATGATTCCCAACCAGGGAAATATTTAAACTGAGTAATACACAGAAAGAGGGAATGAGAAGAAAGGTCTTTAAAAAATGCAGGTTACCTATTGCTTTATTCCAAAAGCAAGACATTTGCTTTTTGGAAACATCACTATAAAATACTGTTGAGAGAAGGAGCTCTTTGATGGTGACAGAAAAAAGGGGGGGTTGTACTACACCAGAGATGTAAATTTTTTTTTATTCATAGTTAATAAAGATTATGAACTTAAAATTTGTTGGAATTAGAACAGTCCTAGAATTAGTAAATGGAGTGATACTTTCTGTCCCTAATGGACTTACAGCTTTCCACTACAGGGATGTCACACTTTGTCTGAACCTGAGATCTTCCATTTTCTTCGATGATCTCTACAGCTGGAATATTTAAACATGTCAGAATTAAACACTCTTTCTATCAGTGTGAGAGAGATTCCCTACAAACCATACATGCAACACTGCTTGATGCTAACTGTCAAAATGGAGCATCCTTTTCAAGTATAAACACCCTAGCTCAAACTGTGAACCCAGGCAGAAAGACTCACTAATCTGGGTTTTTGAAACAAGCACCCCTAGATGTTGTGACAAAAAAAAAAAAAAAAAAAAGAAAAAAGAAAAGTGAGTATTGCTCCCCTTTCTGCTTCCCTTCAACAAAATCTCACTTGCATTCACTGCAATAAAACCAATCACAATGGAATCATTTTATATGTGTGTGACTCTCAAATATAGTTCCCTAAGCCACTGTTCCAAATTAACAGCAGTTAAGCACCCATTGGCAGAGACTTAAAATAAATCGTTACCCAGTGGACTCCTCCATAGTCACCACACATTGCTCAGAAGGTGCAGAGAGTTCCATGGGAGCTGTGGCGGAGTTTATACATTTGATCGTGTTTAAGTTATGAAGAAATACCCATTTTGTGCATAATGATCTCGTTTACAACAGCTTCTCCATACCAGCATATTGCATTATCAAACATAGGCTTCCCTTTAACCTGACTCTTAACAACTTTTGATGAACATATTGTTTAAGAATTTTTGCAATAAGTCACTCACAGAAGCCTTAATTAAATGCAAACCGATTCCTTCAAATCTTTCCTTTGACAATGCAGGCATGAATGGAACAGAGTTGAGAGCTCACACAGCTCTAGTTTTCATGCAAAAGACTCAAGTCCCATAAGTGAGCCAATTACAAATTATAGTGTAGGTGAACTCATTCTTTTCCATTCACTGGAGCTGATTCTGTGTCATTAATGCTGGTATCTTTAAAGGAAGAAAAGACTTTTCATATCTCATTACCATTACAGAAGAGAAATGAAATGAATTCTATGATGAGAGCTACTTGCATGGAACTAGTTCAGTTGCCTACATTTTAATATGCCTTTATAGAAAGCCAGAGCCATATCCACCACCAAAAGTCTCACTAATCCTCTGTGGTGTCTTGCACTGACCTCATTGGCACAGACTTGTTGTTGGCCGAGGTTCCACCACTGTTAGGCTTAAATCAGCTAGTGTGAAATTTTAGCTGAGTGTTAACTGTGCCAAAAGCCATCTTTAGCACTCTCAACCTTTCACTTCCCAAATGCTGAACAGTGGCACTGTAACAGCAGAATGCAACTTGTGTTATGAATCTATGAAGGTGGAGGCTCAGATTTAAATAAAAGGGCCACAATTTACAGGAAACATACTGTGAAGGAAACATTAGTCTCTCACATCTATTTAAAATTGCACATGCAGTGAAAGAGTCACCTAATGTTGGCTGGATGATGCTCAGAGGCAGAAAAATCACATTTTTTCTCAAAAACCTACATATTGTCAAACTTGGAAGCTGGCCATATATGTCCTTGATACATTTAGTGTAGAAAGCTATATAGTGGTATTTAAATCCAACTGATACAAACACATTTATCTATTGTACTTCTCTTTTGGCCTGGACTAACACAGGCGTACACATGGATAAATTTACGTATATGCACCATGTGCCGGGGCCAGTAAAACAAGTACCTTACCACATTGATGATGTATTGATACTCAGAGTTAGTTTTTGCCATGTCCATTTGTTGTTGCTTTATTTTGTTGATTTTTTTTTTTTTGTTCTTTCTGGCTATTAATGCAGAGCCCTGTGTAACAGGAGTCACCCTGAGGCTTTTCTAGACTATATTCAAATCCAAAGTCTGATGAGTTCTAGCAGCCTGCAGTTGTGGTTCTGAATGTCCCCTACAAGAACATGTTGTGACACAAGTGCTAAATGACCAGAAAAATTACCAATTAAGGACAGGAATAAAAAACTACATAGCTTTGTATTATAGATATTTAACATCAGCATTTTTACTGCAGCATTCTTTGTCTCTTAAAAAAGTTTTAAGAAGATATTTTATAACTTACCCTCATTAAAAACCCACTCATCATAGAGTGTCTCAGTAAAAAATAGATGTTTTGTACATGATTCCATTGAGGCTTTATATTGTAAATGCATCTTGCTTATAACAGTTGTTAGGGTATACTTACTGAAGACCAACTTACTTAACGATAGCTGAATTATTTAATTAATTAAAATTATGTGATTTAATTGTCTCTTTTCTCTTCTTTTTTTTCCCTCTCCAAACTATTTCATTTTCTTCCTGAAAATGCTAAAAACTGTAAGCCCAAACAAGCCTGAATGTCACTTACAGTGGAACTGTTTCAGTCAGTAATGGGATTGTTAATTTTGTTTTGTAGGGATTATTGACAGTCTTTCCGAAAATACAGCACTTTATTATGATGTCTGATTTGTACTAC